GATGTCATGGCAGAGGCTGTGAAGAGACCAAAGAAGAATTCAAAGGAAGGGAGGAAGCGAAAAAGGGAGTGACTGAGCATAAACTCATTGGTGTGAGTTAAAAAAGCTACAAGAATGCAAAACAGATGCAGAGCTGGCCTTCTTGCCATTGGGATGGTCAGTAGGGGGAGACCGGGGGCAATTGTAACACACTCAATTTCTCCAATCAGAAACAAGCTAGAGTGATGACACTTAATCTGCACATGCTCAGTAGGATTCTCTCTCTGCCTGTGGAAAAGGAGCAGGATCATTTCACCTCAGCAGAAGTTTGAATCAAAATACTGATTTTGAGGTATGAAAGTAACTTTTTGGATGAGCAGTATTTTTCTTCTGGTGTCTAAAGTTGACTGCAAATCTAAACTTGTATACATTTTATCTCTAGCTTATTGATGAACAATTAACACTTACAAACTTTGCTTATATAGTTGTGGCTAGCGGGCGTATATGATTTTATCATGGCTGCAACCAACAAGCCACGTGGCCCAATGTAAGCAGCCTGTCTGTTTGGAAAATAAACATATTTCACTAAATATAAATGTAAAATAATATAATCTAGTATAAACAAATCACCAATTAACATAGGCCAACATTATTTGTATAAAATAGTGTGTTTTATATGTGTTTAACAGAAAGTGTGCATGTTATATAGGGCTAAGTTCCTTTCATTGTCAGTTTGTCTGTATGGTGGACTTAAAGTAGTTGATGATATAAGACCCAGCAAAACCAAAGAGAATGACAAGGGGGCAATTTTAACACTCTGACATCTTGCATTTAATTAAATATTTTAGTCTTGTTCTTATAAGTGAAAATATATCAATTTTATTATTAATTAGTGCTCATGTATATGTTTCTTGTATCAAAAGATGATTAGTGTATCTCAAGTAGATTGTGAGTTATTAAGGAAAATGTAAAATATGTTACAATTGCCCCCAGTCTCCCCATATTACTTATTATGTCTTGTGTTGCTGCGCTTGCAAAGTTGCCGACTTCAGTGAAATGAGCTATATATCTGCACTTGATGTTAGCAACTAGATAACTCAGACATTGGTCACGTTACTATGAGTGCTCTTACATCAGTTGCTGTCTAGTCAAGTTTCACACAACGTTATGTAACTTTTCTACCATAAAATAAC